AAATGAACCTGAGCTATGAGGACTAATAGTCAACTAGATTCATAGACCAGCATACTTTTATCCTTGCCTTTTAGCCTTTTAGGCAGTGACTTCTGGGTTCTGCTGCTGCTAAGTCACTTCAGTCATGTCTGACTCTGTGTGACCCCATAGACGGCAGCCCACCAGGCTCCTCCGTCTCTGGGAGTCTCCAGGCAAGAACACTGGAGTGGGTTGCCATTTCCTTCTCCAATGCATGAAAGCGAAAAGTGAAAGTGAAGTCGCTCAGTGTCCGACTTAGCAACGCCATGGACTGCAGCCTACCAGGCTCCTCTGTCCATGGGATTCTCCAAGCAAGAGTACTGGAGTGGGGTGCCTTTGCTCTGGGTTCTGGGCCTGCCTGTATCCTGATGGAACCAATCGTATACCTTCTCTGAAATCTATTTCAAAGCATGCCTCCTAGTTCTCAGAAGATGCAGTACTTGAGCTGAGTGGCCAGTGCCGTCACACTCAGAGCTGGCTGCAGCCCCTGGGTTCAGGCCTGGGCACCACATGGTTTTTCTGATGTCCCCTGGACTAATGGCCGTGGAGACCATCCTCTAAACAGCACGACTGATTAGGTTAGGTTTCTTGTTTTAACTCCAGATCTTCATATCTTGGCCTTATTTAAAGCAAATATAGGGGACTCCTTGGAAGTCCCCCTGGAGAAGGAAATGGCAACCCACTCCACTATTCTTGCCTGGAGAATCCCATGAACAGGAGCCTGGTAGGCTACAGTCCATGGGAGTCACAAAGAGTCAGACACGACTGAGCAACTTTCACTGGAAGTCCAGCGGTTAGGACTCTGCTTTCACTGTCAATGGCGCAGGTTCAATCCCTGGTCAGGGAACTAAGATCTCGCAAGCTGCACAACATGGCCAAAAAATAATAATAATAAAATTTAGCAAATATATATGAAAACTGAAAAGAGGATGTGAAGCTGGGGAGAGAAGGGCTGGAAACTACTGATTGCCTTCAGACGCGGTTACCCAGACTCTTCATTGGAGTTAAGCATTTGCCGTCTTTCCCATTAAACCCTCGAACTGAAACTGCTGCTGATCAGGTAGGAGAGAAAAGGAGTTTGAATGTTTTTCTGCTCACCCTATGGTGGAGAAGCTTAAACAGAGTAATTAGATGGAGTAAAATCCTGATATAAACTCTGCTTCTTGACTGGCTTGATTTTCCATTTCTACAAGGAAAAAGTGGAACTACATCAATGATTTTCAAGCTACATTTTAAAGACCTGAAAGGGATTCCTTAGTGATGATTCAGAGCCCACGGGTATTCAACAAAAGGAGCACTTTTTTAATATATACAAGTATTTGACTTCTTGGTCAGCTGTAGCTTTAAAAAAATGACTTAAAAGCCTTATGAACTAGCCATCTCTAAGGGCCCCCAGCTCTGAAATGCTGAGGTTCTAGTGAACAAAATCATCAGTGCTGAAATGATCCAAATGTGGGTGACACTGTCACAAGCTGTGTGAATAAATGCACAAGCCAGCCTAACTGGGATCCTTTCTTTATTGTCTGCTACTATAGTTATTAATGTAACATAAATAATATAAAGTAAAATTTTGTGATTATAGATCCTTCTGCTGAGATTGTTATCTGGCTGTTCTGTGTTGGCATTTGTTGGGAAAGAGCAGTAGTTTGGGAATCCAGAGACCTAATCCAATGGAATGGCATGAAATTAGAGAAGCAAGAGGGCTCATCTGAGTTTTGGCAGAAAGAGCTAGCCAGGAATTCGAAGGCCTGTGTTATAATCCAACGCTGGGACATCCCTGGTAGTCCAGTGGCCAAGGCTCTGAACTTCCCAATGCAGGCAGCCAGTTTTGATCCCTGATCAGGGAACTAGATCCCACATTCTGCAACTAAGAATTCCCATGTCACAATGAAGACCTGGCACAGCTAAATAAATAATTTTTTCTTAAAAAAAACAATCACCAACCCTGCTAATTTGCTGTGACCTAAGGGTCTCTCCAACTCTGACACACATGCTTGCTCTGGTATCTAAAATTGCTATTAATAACTGTAAGAGAATATCTAGATGGCATTTCTCCATTGCTTTATCGCCTCTAGAATGCAGCACTGTGTGTGCATTGAGCACTACTGCATACTGGTACCTGCAGGCTTCACCTGGGGCTCAACCATTTATACCTGCAACAAAGACAAATTGTTCCCCAGCCCTTAAAGTACAAGAAATCAATTTCTTTTCTAAATCAATTGACTCTAGTACCAAAATAGCTAGCACTGGCCAAGATCTGTGAGAGGTGTCTGCTAGTCCTTTTTTAATAGTTTCATCTCCTCCCCTTGGATATTGACCCACTCCTTCATTCACCAAGTATTTATTATGCCAGGCACCAATGTATGCGTTTAGGATACAATATCAAACAAAGCAAAGACTCTGACACTTTTAAATTTAGTCTTGTGGAGAGAGACAAACAAATACAGAGCATGTCGAATGGATACAAGGACCAAGGAAAACAGCAAAGTGGTGTGAGAAAAACAGGGAGCACAAGCCAGGCGGATTGGTCTTTTGTAGAGTGAGTGATCAAGGAAGGCATCTCTGAAGAAGAAGACTGTAAAGAGAAGCTAAGGAGTAAAAGACTGAGCTAGTAAATATGTAGAAGAAAGAGATTTCAGGCAAAGCAAGTGCAAAGGACCTGAGGCAGGCACTCTTGCTTTGAGGACATGCAAAGACGCCAGGAACTGGCACTGAGTGACCAGGGAAGGAATTAAGTTCAGAGATGGAGGGACGGGAGCCCGTGAGCCAGTATAAGTTTGGCTTTCTTGAGACAGGAATTCATGAGAGGGCTTTAGCTGAGGAGTCCGATGATCTATCTTACAGTTTAAGGAGATAACTTTGGCTGTTACGTGGCCGCAGACCAGGGAAAACGGAAGGAACAATAGTGCAGCGCACACGCCTCACATGGGCCTAGCCCAGTACTAAGGGATACAGGTAAAGTCAGCCCTCCCTGTCTTGCTACTGTCCTATGACACACAAAAAGAAAATGCTTGTTCGAAACAAAATTAAACTGTCTGCCACCCCAGCTTGCTCAGGAGGCGCTTGTTCATTCTTGATTCACTCCCAGGAGAAGGGGACAGAGAACCGTCCTGACGCCTGCCTGGCTGGCTCCGCGCGATCGCAGGCTGCTCTGGCGCCTCCCCTGGCGCGCTCTGCGCTCTTCCCGGTTCCTGTCGCGACGCCCCGTCCTCCTCTCGCCCGCGTCGGCCCGGGGCCGGAAGCCGCTCGCCCGCCGCCCGGGGCCGGGGGAGGGGAGGCCGGCGGCGCCTCCCGGCGTCTGCCCGCCGCTCCGCAGCTGCCGGCGCTCGAGGGGAGGCTGCCGGACGGAGAACTCAGACGACCGGGCACCAGGGCAGCCTGCTGTCAGACCGAGGCCCAGGAAAGGCCTACTCGGCAGCGGCGCCCGGCGTCCTCCCTGGGCCTCAGCCTAGCAGACAGAAGCTGTCTCCCTACCCGGTCACACTTCTTGCTTCCAGATTCCCCTCGACTCTTCCCAAGGACCTGACGTTGAATGAGAGCATGGAGCAGAGAAGTGAAAGAAATATTTACGTACTTTCCAAATTTCTCTGTCCTGTCTGAACCCTACTCTCTCACAGTGTTAACTTAAAAGGAGGGTATTTGCCGCCTTTGTTCTGCTTCAGACATGCCTGGGCCTGAGAAGGCCTCTCCATGAGCAAATGCGCAAGGAGGGATGGAGCTGTCCACCAGCTGTCATCCTGCTCCATTGTCTCAGCTCCTAGACCTTCAAAAACAAAGCCTGGCTGCAGCTGTCTTTCACACAGGGCAATTTTGGCATGTTGGGGGAGCCCAGAAATACAAGAGCCACTGATAACCCCTTCCTAGGGCAGAGGAGACCCAACACAGGCCCTGGGTTGCCCTTCCTGGGAGGAGCAGCAAGGGCAGTGCTGAGATGACTTTGTCCCTCGGCCCATTCGTGCACAGCAGGAAAAAAGACTAGGATGTTCATTTCTTTCTCAATATCTCATCCTGTTACACACTTAGGTCATAAATTCACAACAGCAATAAGCACCAAGAGAACTTCTCAGAGGACCCAGTTAACTCTTTAAAGAGTTGCACTGTGCCAAATGCCAGAGATGTAATAAATTAAAACACAGTCTGCCTGAGAAGGTTCAAAGTCTACATGGGGTAACAAACATTTAAACAACTCATCCCAACAATTGGGAGGTGCTATTACACACAGGGCCATGAAGATACAGAAGAGCAAGAATCCAGTTCCAGGTGCAAAGGGCTTTACAGGAGTGGTGATGCTTATGACAAATTTTTTAAAATAACAATTTTGTTTTATAAAAATGACACTTCAAACAATGGGTCCAAGAAAAGAAAATAACCAAATACCTCAAGCCGCACACCCAGAAATAAACTCGTAAATGTGATTTTACTGAAATTCTACGAAAGAAAACGACACTCTGTTAAAATGAAGGAACTAGTGCAAAGGCCCAGAGTATGGAAGGACAGGGAGCTGGGTCGGCTTGGAAGGCAAGGGGGTGGCCGCCTGGAGCTGACCACAGCAGGAGGGCTGGGACCACATCTGGTTTTTGTGCAAACTGGTACTCTGTGGTGGGAGACATCCCAGAGACATGTGCTTAAAGAAGAAAGAAACGCACAAAAGGTAGACAGGCTAAGCATCCAGAGAGGAAGAAAGAAAGGCCTAAGGGGGCTGGCTGTCCATTAAGTGTAAAGAAATGAGCTTCATGCATCAGGAGATGATACTGTAATAGCAGCCCCGATTAATGAACTGTTGCATATGCCAAGTCCTAAGTTAGGCATTTTTCATTGTTCAACCAATTAATTCTCACAAAAGCATTACCTAAATATCATTATGATTGTCATTTTACATCCAAGGACACACCCAAAGAGATTAGAGGACTTGCTCAAGATCACCCAGGTAGTAATTTAAGATCTGATACTCTTAACCCAGTGATTCTGTTTTTCCAAAGAGGATGTTTAAGCATATTGCCCCTCCACCTCAAAAGGCTTTGGTTACTTGGATGCTTAAGTTCTGTCCATTGAAAACCAATCTTAGAATCTTTAGAATCATATGTCACATTCAACCCTTCAAGTCATTCAGTTCAGTCAATTCAGTCACTCAGTCGTGTCCAACTCTTTGCGACCCCATGGACTGCAGCACTCCAGGCTTCCCTGTCCATCACCAACTCCTGGAGCTTGCTCAAACTCATGTCCATCGAGTCAGTGATGCCATCCAACCGTCTCATCCTCTGTCATCCCCTTCTCCTGCCTTCAATCTTTCCAGCATCAGGGTCTTTTCCAATGAGTCAGTTCTTCACATCAGGTGGCCAAAGTATTGGAGTTTCAGCTTTAGCATCAGTCCTTCCAACACCTAGGATTGATTTCCTTTAGGATGGACTGGTTGGATCTCCTTGCAATCCAAGGGTCTCTCAAGAGTCTTCTCCAACACCACAGTTCAAAAGCATCAATTCTTCGGTGCTCAGCTTTCTTTATAGTCCAACTCTCACATCTACACATGACTACTGGAAAAACATAGCTTTGACTATACGGACCTTTGTCGGCAGAGTAATTCTGCTTTTTAATATGCTGTCTAGGTTGATCATAGCTTCTCTTCCAGGGAGCAAGAGTCTTTTTAATTTCTTGGCTGCAGTCACTTGTCCACAGTGAGTTTGGAGCCCAAGAAAATAAAGTCTCTCACTGTTTCCCCATCTATTTGCCATGAATAGATGGGACCACATGCCACAGTCTTAGTTTTATTCAATGTTGAGTTTTAAGCCAACTTTTTCACTTTCCTCTTTCACTTTCATCAAGAGCCTCTTTAGTTCTTCTTCACTTTCTGCCATAAAGGTGGTATATCTGAGCTTATTGATATTTCTCCTGGCAATCTTGATTCCAGCTTGTGCTTCATCCAGCCCAGCATTCCTCATGATGTACTCTGCATATAAGTTAAATAAGCAGGGTGACAATATACAGTATTGATGTACTCCTTTCCCAATCTGGAACCAGTCCATTGTTCCATGTCAGGTTCCAATTGTTGCTTCTTGACCTGCATACAGATTTCTCAGGAGGCAGGTAAGGTGATCTGGTATTCCTATCTAAGAATTTTCCATAGTTTGTTGTGATCCACACAGTCAAAGGCTTTGTTGTAGTCAATAAAGCACAAGTAGATGTTTTTCTGGAATTCTCTTGCTTTTTCTATGATCCAGCAGATGTTGGCAATTTGATCTCTAGTTCCTCTGCCTTTTCTAAAACCAGCTTGAGCATCTGGAAGTTCACAGTTCATGTATTGTTGAAGCCTGGCTTGGAGAATTTTGAGTACTTTACTAGCATGTGAGATGAGTGCAATTGTGCAGTAGTTTGAGCATTCTTTGGGATTGCCTTTCTTTGGGATTGGAATGAAAACTGACCTTTTCCAGTCCCGTGGCCACTGCTGAGTTTTCCAAATTTGCTGGCATATTGAGTATAGTACTTTCATAGCATTCTCTTTTAGGATTTGAAATAGCTCAACTGGAATACCATCACCTCCAGTACTTTGTTCATAGTGATGACTTCACATTCCAGGATGTCTGGCTCCAGGTAAATGATCACACCATCATGGTTATCTGGGTCATTAAGCTGTTTTTTGTATAGTTCTGTGTATTCTTGCCACCTTTTCTTAATATCTTCTGCTTCTGTTAGGTCCATACCATTTTTACTTTATTGTTCTCATCTTTGCATGAATGTTCCCTTGTATCTCTAATTTTCTTGAAGAGATCTCTGGTCTTTTCCATTCTATTGTTATCCTCTATTTCTTTGCACTGATAAAGTGGTTAAAGATAACATTAGAGCAATCAGTTTTGAAACACATATCCTGTCACCAGGAGGGAATAGTTTTCTTCTACTATTATGACGAATAACTTCAGATATCTGTTTTGTGTTTTGAGTGGTTGGTTTAATTGGTCTACCATGGGGAGGGAAGGGGTGCAGCCAGGGCGGGAAACCCAGAGCTCAGTCTGAGGCCTGGGAGCCTCATGTGAGGAGGCATTTTCCCTCAAGCATGGAGGCAGGAGAAAATAAGAGAGGATGGAAGACTCAGCTGACGCAACAAGCTGTGTAGATGATAAGATCACATGAGATAAGACCTCAAGATGGTCGCAGGCATGGGGAAGTTCTTGAAAAAATTTTTAAGTAGCTGTCAGGGTTCTGAGGTTTGGTTCTGTCTGCTCTCCCACCTGCCATCTTCCAGATTCCCCGTTCCCACGCCATCTGCTCTTGGCACCAGGTCTGGGAAGTCCTCTTGCTTCCAATCCCAGTACAAGTGCTACAGCAATGGATCACCCTTCATCCACAAATCAGCCACAAGCACCAGAAACCTCTGTTTGTTTCTAAAAAGCACCTTCCAGTGCTCCTCAGACCTGCTGAAACAAACACTGTCAATCTGAAGGCTGATAAAACTCTCAGTATCACAGAAACACAGGGCGAGCGATCACAAATCCCCTATGACCTTGACCCCTCTTGAATCATGCTCCCCACAGACCACAGCACACCAGCCGGCCCAGGGAACAGGGTGCAGGCGCCCTTGCTTCTATCATATTGAGAGCTGAGCGGCATTTCCTGGGCCCCAGGCTTCATTAGCACGTTGGTGGTATTGCTTCCTGTAGCTGACTATCTGTTTCCATTCTGGCAAAGTGTTTGCTCTCTTCTCTCTGCTTTGGGGGCTGGGGGAAGATGAGCTTCTCAAGGAGCCTGTCTCTGCCCTCTTGGCCGTCTCCCCCTCGGCATCCCGCACGTCCCCGCCACAAGGCAGAGCGTCTGGCGTCCCCCTGAGCCGAGCTGAGGAGCTCCGCACCCAGAAGAGCTCTCCCCTCCCACAGTCAGCATCGCAGCCACATCCAGGTAGAGCAAAGCTTGTTGTTTTGTATTTTGGGTCAAGTCAGCCTGACATTTCAGGGACAGACACAAGGTAGAGTTGGTTGGGGGAGAGAAAGTTCTAGAAAGACAGACTGGAAGCTTTAGAAAGGAAGAAATAAAAACCAATAGACTTTTTGTGATGGATTTTGATAAATAAAAATTTAAGAAGATGAAAATTTGAGAGTAAAATGTTGTATGTTAGGGAATGTTCAGAAAATGGAGACCAGGAGGATTTCTGTCATTCTTATCTACTAAAAAAGAATGCTTATACTACACGGGATTATATGCAAAACACAAACCAATTCTGCCTTTTCTCTTGAAAGTCAGCAGTTCAGGAAGAGACAGGAAAAGTGGCAGACCGGTTGGCAAGCTGATGACAATTAAGAGAAGGCCTATGGGGAGAAGCTGAAGCCCAAGAGGGTCGCGGAATAATGGATGTCACCACGCCAGCGCACTCGGAGACCACAGGGAGGACCTCAGGGCCCAGCACTCTACAGGGAACCCTCGGCAGCCTGGACAAGTGAGTGCAGGGGCGGTGAGCGCTCCCCTCCCCTGATTTAGAAAGAGGGTCCTGGTCTATCCTGGGAGGCTTCTACCCCAGCAGCCTTGCCACCCCTCACTAGGCTCTCGTCTCCTAAGACCACTAAACTCTGGGCTCAGAGAGGTTTGCTCAGAACTGCCGGGAGGAAAGGAATAGGTATTGAGAAGAGAAAGGAGTTGTTGGGAAGAGAGGAAATATGATAACACACCACTTCCTTAGAGCTGGCTTCCTGGCATGGTTAGGTTTCTCATGCTCAGAGGCCCTCATGGCGGTCCTTGAGCTTTCCTTTTTCAAATCCCACCGATCACTCCTCAGAGAAACAGAAACAAAAACCAGTTTCTGCTCCGATGGAGACAAACGGCCCACACTTTGCGCAGGTGTGCTTTAGGTCCTAAACACTTGCCGTGAATAAAAATGGAATCATAGAGACGATAAAGATATGTCCTTAGATCATAAAATCTCACAGAATTAATCATAGATATAAATCTCACAGCTAAAACCTTCCATATTATATTAACAAAAAGTCCATCAATAGTTGAAACTTTGACACTGAGAGGTATTGATTTCAGTGCGATGATAAAAGCACAGCTCAACAGCAATAAATTTAAAATCACTGTAGTTTGGGGAGGTAAATGTCATTACCATGACAAACAAATACATGTCCCCTGCTAGTGGATAAGGTCATTGATGGGGAATAAATTCATAAAGTATCAAAATCCTGCAGCACTCCTCCAATACTATTTCTATATCCATTCATTTGTTAATTCATTCATTCATTAATTTAACATATCCACCAGGCACTGTTGCAGGCACAAGGTGAACAAGACAGGCAAGGACCAACTCCTGGAGGTTACAGTTAAGTGGAAGAGTCAGATACAGACAGGTGAACAAAAGCATGGCTAGTGTAACATCAGTCAGTCCTAAGTGCTACGGGGTGCTAAGTGCTAAGTGCTTAGTGCTAAGTGCTAAGTGAGGGGGCTGCCCAAGAGCACTGAGGAGGGTGTGACCGGGGAGGACCTATCTGAGCACGTGACGTTTCAGAAGAGCCCTAAATGAAATGAGGGAACTGAACTGAGGGAGAGGGAGCAGCGGGACTGAGACAAGACTGTGCTTTGCTGGAAACAGCATGGAGTCCTGGTCACCAAGGTCAGAGGGAAAACAGTAGGAAAGGAGGTCAGAGGCAGGCAAAGGCAGAAGAGAAGAGGCTGTGACATTCTCGCCGGTTAGGGACTATGGATGCTATCCCAAGTGTGATGAGAACTCATGGGCGGTTGCAAGCAGAGGCGGCATGTGATCTGATTTAACTGTTTAGAGGATCGCTCTGGCCCCTGTGTGAAGATAGTATGTTGGGGCCAAGAGTGAAAGCAAGGAGATCATTAGAGAGGTTCTTGCAAAGGTCCGTGTGGAACTCACGGTGGCTCAGACCAAGGTAGTGGCAATGCAGGAGCAAGAGGTGATGCTTTGGGGTAGACGTGCAGGTTGAGCAGATAGCAACTGCTGGTTAACTAGCAGCAGGGTGTGAAAAAGAAAACATTCACAGATGACTCCAAGGTTTTTGGCCGAGCGATTAGATGACGAGAAACACCAGAGGAACAGGTTTATGGGGGGTGGGGGGAGAACAGGAGTTCTGTTTTAAACATTTTTGGTTTGAGATGTCTATTAGGTTACCACATGGGAATGTCCAGTATGAAATGGGGTGAACAAGTCTAGAACTCATAAGGACAAAAACCTTCCCTAATGGATGACCTGGTTTCTAGTATTTGGAGGGGCAGTTTCATTAATGATGCATTGTGTAACCTCAACTGGCTGCTTCCTATAGCCAAAGCAGAGCAGTAGCTCTGGCCCTGCCCAGGAATTACAAGTAGCCGGGAACTTACTCGGTGCATTTGCATTGGTCACGTTCCACAGAATAGCAGAGTGTTGCTTGAAGACCAGCTCCACGAGTTGATGCCACCAAGATTATTATAATGCAAGCAACCTGGACTCTCGTCCCAGAGCTGCTCCGTAATTGCAACTGGATAATCTCTTCCAAGCAAGACAGAAAGCTGAGGGGCAGGGAACAGGTTAAGCAGGAGCAAGTGGACTTGACAAGTTTGGGAGACAGTGTGCAACCATAGAAAGAACAGTCTTTGGGGCCAAACAGACCTAGATTCACATTCCATCATGCTCCTTCCTACCTATGTGATCTTCCATATGTTACTCTACCTTACTGAGTCTAAATCTCAGGTTCCTTGGTCACAAAGAGAGATGGGATTGTTGTACAGATTAAATAAGCTTTAATGCAAACCAGTGACATCCAGTGAACATTCAGAAGGGATAGCTCTCTTCTCCCACATCCTCTTTCCCTCTCTCCGTAAGGAGATAACCCTCTCTTCCACCACCCAGCCCATCCCGCTCAGAGTTCCTTCACTCGGCTCCCACCTCAAATCCTTGAGTCCTACCTCTTGGAGGAAGCATCGTCCCCCCTCCCCGCCCCATGGCTGGATCATGGCCCTTGGTTTTCCTCACAGAGCTGAAGACCACAGCAGCAGCATCTTTTCTGGGTTTGCGGCTCTCCTTGCCATCCTCCTGGTTGTTGCAGTTTTCTGCGTCCTGTGGAACTGCAGTAAACGGAAGAAGCGTGAGTCCCTTGTTTGTCCAAAGTTGAGACACACTATGATCAATTGTCTAGTCAGGAATTTAAAGCCCAGTTCTCAGATGGCACAGTGGTAAAGAATCTGCCTGCCAATGCAGGAGATGCAGGAGACGTAGATTCGATCCCTGGGTTGGGAAGATCCCCTCGAGGAGGAAATGGCAACCCACTCCAGTATTCTTGTCTGGAAAAATCCCATGGACAGGGGCCTGGCAGGCAACAGTCCATGGGGTCACATGGAGTCAGACGTGACTGAGCACAGACACATGCATTGTCCTCCAGAGATAAACCGCTGCACCGAGGAGTCCTCTGTCCTCACCTAACACACAGGTCCTTGTCTCCGTCAGGATCACAAGCCGTGGCTCTGAAAGGCTGCGTGCTGAGTGGAGCCTCACTCTGAAAGCCATGCCCTGGTACCCTGTGCCCATTTCTTCTTCCTGCTTCTGTCTCCTGAGTCCCCTGTTCTTCTAGCTCAGAGGCATTGGTCAAGTCTGGAAACATTTTTCCTAATGTATGGTGAGGGTGGGGAATATTTTCTGGCGCCGTCTCTTCCCCAAGGGTCCCCACATTCTATGCAACTAAGCCCAGCCATGACCTCTGTGTCTCTCATTGTCTTGCAGGGCAAGTTCCCTACCTCCGAGTTACCATCATGCCCTTGTTGACTCTGCCTCGACCCAGACAACGAGCCAAAAATATTTATGACCTCTTGCCCCGAAGACAAGAAGAGCCGGGTAGGTTTTTCCTTCTAATCCATGGAATCCAGGCCTACAGAACTTCTGCCTCCAGAATATATGTCTCACCTACAAAAGCGTCTTCTTCTAAGCATGCTACCGACCTGCTCTTCAGGGAGCAGGCGAGAAGGCGGGACAGACAGATGGCAAGGTTCACCTCCAGTGGGGTCCGCGGGCTTGAAGAGGGAGCAGGGAGTCATCGGGGTCAGGGATCTGGTTTGGGGTTTCCTCCAACTTCATTGAGAAATGATTGACATATGTCACTGTATGAGTTTATAGAGTACAGCATGATAATTTGACTACACAGATTACAGTTTTGGTTTCCTTGATGCAGTTAGCTGGGTATGTCTAAGGTTGGGAAAGACACACAGGAGGAGAACATGGCCAGCAGCCTCACGTCAGGGAGGGCTCACCCGAGAAGCCTCCTCCCAGCCAGATTCCTCGATTCCTGTGCTCGTGTCCGTTTGTCCTCAGCTGGCTGAGGAGTGTTCCGAGTCTCCCAGCTCATCATCCTTGTAGCCCTGACCCTCTCCCCACAGAATGCTGACCCCCAAATACCAGAGATCACACAGATCCACTTCACCCAGAATGTGAGGACTGAACAGGCTGAAGCACTTGGAGGACTGGCTGACTAAGCTCAGGGTTTGCTCTCTGTCCTTTCAGGAAGACATCCCTCAAGGAGCACCCGTATTGTCAGCACCGAAAGCCTCCTCTCCAGGAATTCTGACAGCCCTCCCTCAGAGCATGTGGTAAGTGTCAAGCGAAACGACAGTCCCTTTGGGAGAAATGACATGTCTCTGGCAGAAGAGCTGAAGTGCAAGAGTTCTAGGTTTTGCTTCTTGTTTCACTATAAAGGGCATGTCCTTTGGCACCCCAGGCCCTATTAATAAATGGGAAGACTAGCCTCAGAACTGCCCTACCACCCAAGGCAAAAAATTTAGAAAGAGAGGAGCAAGTGCTTGAGATTTTAAGAAAGGCACCAAGGCACATGTATTCAAGGACACTTGTTGGAACTGAAATGTATTGCCTTAACAAAGACATGACAATGTGTTTTCCTAAATAAGTGTTGTCTCCTGTACCGTAATTATCTTGGGAGGGTACATAAATTTTCCAACAGGGCTGTTGGTGCTCAAAGCACCCTTAAGGTTCTGTTTTGGGAATTACTTCCAAGCCTATGTCAAATTGTTTCAATCTTCCTCCAGAGCCGAAATACTCATAAGTCACTCAGCACTGCGACTGGTGTAAAAAGTGTTGAGCATGTTAGGGATACCTTTGCGTCTGGCTCTGAAGGCAGCTCCAAAGGAGGAGACGCACAGCAGTGTGGGGCAGAGGGACTGCTATGAAGATCAGGGCACTCGTTTCCATAGATAAGTCCTCATTACCTTGTTCAAAGAATTTGTTTCCTCGGTTTTACGGCGTCCCTGGGTGAGTAGGCCATGGTGCCGCTTCTGCTGATTGGCTCGTTACCCGGCAGCCTTTCTTTACCCAGGGGCACAGGTTTGATGACCACGTGGCCGCCTCCAAGTCGCCACATTTGCTTCCTTCTCGTCTCGCATGTCCCATTCTTAGGCTCTGGTCCCGCTTCTAAGACTTCCTAAGGCAGCAAGTCCACGTGGCTATAAAAGGAAGAGTGGAGGAAATCCACTGCTTAAGCTAGTTCTCGGATTCAGCTGAGCCCTGCGGGGATTTTGCACCTAGAGTTTAGATCTCAAGCTGACTTAAACCTACAAACATGTTTGGATTGTACTCTATACTGTTTGAAGGTTTGAACCAGTTGCCAACATTTAAAAACCTAAGAGATTTCACACTGAAGTCCAGATATCCAGCCTTTTTTGAAAATAAGACGTTCTGGAAATCAGACCAGCATTCCTCAATGACCATAGCTGATCTGTGTGTCAGCTGCGCCCATGCTAACAACAGCAAGCATTTCGTAGTGTTTCCTTTGTGCCAGGAGCTAAACAATTTACAGGCAATAATTCATTTTTTTCTTCACAAAAACCTCGTAGTATTGATATTATTATGATTATCCCCATTTTATAAGTTAGGAAGCTGAGGCACAGCGAGATTAGGTAACTTGTGTAAACTCAGCACAGAGTGGTAAGGTTAGGACTTGCACCCTCAGTCTGAACCTAAGCCTCTACCTTTAGCCACTATGCTGGGCCTAGCAATATGTTCTGGGGTGGCAAGCTCTCTCTAGTTCATAATACTTCCCCCACTGAACCCCCACAGTGTGGCCAAAAACAGTTACAATTTATTGTCACATTTACACTGCTGCTTTTCCTAAACCCAGCCTACTTCACTCATCCCAGCCTAGCATCAGAAGCCTTGTGATCTGAGACCCCTGATTCAGAGCTTTTCTCTGGGTGAAGGAACCATTAGGTATAATGGTACTGGGTGGGGAAGAAGAAAGGGTTTGTCCTTATCTCTACTCCTACCCTGTCACGCGCTTTCTCTTCTTCCTTACAGCCCTCCCAAGCAGGCGATGCCCTCCACATGCACGGAACCCATATTCATGCCATGGGGTATGCAGTGGGCATCTATGACAATGCCATGTGGCCCCAGCTGTGTGGAAACGTTGCTCCCTCAGCTCACTATGTCAATGTCAGAGCTTCAAGAGGTTATCCGAGCACTTCTTCAGAGGAGTCAAGAGATTATGTCAATATCCCCACAGCAAAGGAGATTGCTGAGACTTTGGCTTCTACCAGTAACCCTCCTGGGAACCTCTTCATCCTCCCAAGTACCAAGGAGCTGGCACTGTCTGAAGAAATAGATGAGGGTTGTGGGAATGCCAGTGACTGCACCAGTTTGGGGTCTCCAGGAACTGAGAACAGTGATCCACTCAGCGATGGGGAAGGGTCTTCTCAGACCTCAAATGACTATGTCAACGTGGCAGAGTTGGATCTCGGGACCCCCCAAGGGAAGCAGCTCCGGGGAATGTTTCAGTGCCGCAGGGATTATGAAAATGTACCACCAGGTCCCAGTAACAACAAGCAGCAGGAGGAGGAAGTGACATCCTCAAACACAGACCATGTAGAGGGCAGGACAGATGGTCCAGAGAGCCACATCCCACCTGCCGTGCAGTCAGGGAGCTTCCTGGCTTTAAAGGATTATGTGGCCTGTCAGTCGTCTGCCCCCAGTGAGAACGGGCCGTGGAAACGTGCAGAAGAGACTTCAAGTGAGGACTCTCATGACTATGAGAATGTGTGAGCTGCCGAGGCAAGAACCAGGGGCTGAGCAGCGGCCTGACCCACGGCTCTTTCCTGACAAACTAAGACCCAGCCACCCAGCCGGCAAGCCACATGAAGTGGTCGCTGCTGCCAGGTTCACCCTTGATGACCCTGTATTTCAGTGGTTTCATTTGGTTAGGCTAAGGAGATGAAATGCGTAGGGAGCTAAGGGCCTCTCAAAAGCAGAGTTTTGAGAAAGCCAGAAAGTAATTCTTCTCAGCAAGTTTCTGTTACTTCTCATACCAACTTAAGAATGTTTGCTGAAACTACCTTACAGAATTGTTAGGAGGCTAAAAGTGGAAGAGTCCTTTAGTGCACAGTGGAAACATGATGTAGCCTAAAATCATTACCTTTGCTAATACCAGCAGGCTGCAAAGGAAGAATACAGATTATTTGGTAATCCAGACAGAGGCCAAAAGGAATGAAGAAGCTGGAGTGGGGTGGGGAGGGGGAGTTTCCACTCTAGAATGAGTGTGGACCTCCAAACGCTGGAGAAAACACAGAATAATAATGCTCATCATTGCTGAGGGGATTGCAAGCCATAACCTTCACTCTGGAAAATTGTTCATCAGTTTCTCATAAACATACACTTATTATACAACCCAGTCATTCCACTATTAGGTATTTATCCAAGTGTAAAGTTTGTGTTCACAAGAGAAAAAAAAAACCTTATACATTACTGTTTATAGCAGCTTTATTCATAATTGTGAAAACTTAGAAATAAATAAGTCTTTCAACAGGTGAATGGATAAACAAGCTGTCCTATATCCACACAATGAATTTATCCACACTCACCGGTAAAAATGAGTGAAGGATATAGGTTTATGCAACAACATGGACAAATATTAAAGACATTTTGATAAGTGAAAGAAGCTATACCTAAAAATCTACACATTGTATGGTTCTACTTAAATGACTTTTCTGAAAAAAGCAAAACTGTAGAGGCAGAAAACAGATCAGTGGTTGAGAGGTTTGGGAAGCAGGAACAAAGGAGCTGTACAAGGAAATTTTTAGGATAATGTTTCTATAAGGTGATTGATACTTGACTGTATGCATTTGTCAAAACACACAAAAAAAGCCCGTACAGCACAAAGAATGACTTTACTCTATGCAAATTTTAAAAATTCACCAGGCTGTTGGGGGGCCCACAATATAATGCAGATTGTAAAAATTGAAATTTTTTGTAAAAATTTTGTAAAAATTGAATTGGTTTTTACAAATGTATGGCATAATCTCACTGAAGGGAGTGGGGGGAAATTGAGCTGGCTTAAGTAACTTTGGAAAACAATATTTTGCTTGAAAATGTAAGATAAAGACACAAAGAGTTGAACACAAACACTGCAGTGTAATTGACAAATTTGTGTCTCATGGGAATATAGTTTAGCAATTTTGAAGCTAAGTATATCCTCGAGTTGAACAAATAAGTAAATATGATACGGGTAAGGAGAGGCAGGTTTCTTACTCTCAGAGAAAGAGGTAATAAATAAGCAAGTAGAAAAGGAAATACAGATGAGTGTACACGTAGGCTTCCCAGATGGCACAGTAGTAAAAAATCTGCCGGCCAACAGAGGAGACGCAGGTACAGTCCCTGGGTTGGGACGGTCCTGTAGAGAAGGAAATGGCAACCCACTAGGTATTCTTGCCTGGGAAATTCCACAGACAGTGGAGCCTGGCGGGCTACAGTCCATGGGGTCACAAAGAGTCAGACATAACTGAACACACGACACACTCACACACACAAATACATAGGCTAGTATATATGCTTGTGTTTCCTAATTCTGCCCACTAGAGGGTCTAGAAGCAATGATTCTCCAATTGCAATGAATGCACTTAGCTCCCAGATCTTGGTTTCTAAATATCATTGTCCAGTAAAAGGAACCAGACCTCCTTGGAGAAATAGCTGGTTTTAGAGCTGAGGCAGGGAAAACACAAGATGAGTTTGACCACTATGTAGAAAAGGGAAGAAAAGAAAGAAACAAGGGGTCAGGGGAAGAAAGAAGACAAGATGAGAGCATGTCAAAAGGAGCCAACTGAAAGCACTCCCAAAGGTAACTAGAACAATTTAAGCAATAAAAATAAATATTTATAATGTAGATTTATAACTCAAAGAATAAAATGAATATCCACGAATCCCTACTATAATTCTGCTTTGGGCAAGTCCTGATGAATGGTAAAATTAGCAGGTGGCACCATATGGAAAAATAAGATAATTTCATAACTTCAAAGAATCTCCCTTCAAATATTTATTCACTACTGTGATGGCTTTAATCTTTATCCACAAATTATTTGATACTTCCCTTGGCACTTAATTCCCTTCACCTCCGGTGTGGGCTGGATTTAGTGACTCTTTTCTAAGGAAAAGAATATGGAAAAGAGAAAATAGTAAATCTACAGTGGAGAAACTTGTATATGTGTAGGCTATTATACATGTATATTTTCTCTGTGCACTGGAAGGTCTAGAATCAGTGATGCTCCAGTAGGAATGAATGCACTCAGCTCTCAGACCTTGGTTTCAAAACTTGATAGACACTACCTTAACCATGTGATCAAGGTCAACTCACCATTGTTAAGCTATGTTCTGGACTTCCCTGGTGGTCCAGTGGTTAAGAATCTGCCTGCCAATGCAGGGGACAAGAGTTCAACCCCTGGTCCAGGAAGAGTCCACATGCCAAGAGGCATCCAAGCCTGTGAGCCATAACTACCGAGCCGTATGCCGGAGCTCCTGACGCCCTCGTGCCTGCAGCCTGGGCTCTGCAACAAGAGAAGCCCCCGCAGTGAGAGACCTGAGCACTGCAACTGGAGAGCAGCCCTCACTGCCACCCTGGAGAAAGCCCACCCACAGCAGTGAAGACCCAGCACAGCATAAATACACACATAGATGTTACGCTGCTCTGTGACCGAGCACAAGGGTACTTTACCCCTGTGGTATTCTTCCCTGTAAGCCACAACCCCAGTCTTATCATGAGAAGCATCAGAAAACTCAGATTGAATGACATTCAACAAATACCTGACCAGAACTCTTTAAAGTGTTACAGTCATGACAGACAAGGGAAGGATGGAGAAACTGGCAGGCCGGCAGAGACCGAGAAGATGTGATGACTAAGCACATGATACCTTGCATTGGATTGTAGTACATGAAAAGGACATTAGTGGGGGAAAAGGTTAAAAAAAATAAAAAGAGAAGAAAGTTCATATTGTAGTTAATAGCATTGTATCAATGTTAATTTCTTAGTTTTGACAAAGATACCAAGGTTACATATTTAGCATCAGGGGAAGCTGTGTGAAAGGTACGGTAACTCTCTGTACTATCCCTGTAACTTTTCTGAAAGTTATGCCAAAACAAAAAGTAATTTTAAACCATGGACAAAGCTGGGAGTGAAGACATCTAGGTTCATTCCACTCAAATAAGTGTGCCTTTGTTCCTTTTTCTGCAAAAAGGGACATGATATAAAGCACATGCTACTATTCTTGCTTTGGATATTTGTGTTAGTTTTCTGCATGGTTCTGTTAATGTATGTACTCAGTCTCTCCTATCAAACTGCAGTCCCTTTGTCTGTAGGAAAATATAATTAAATCCTTTGTGTTCACCCTAGTTCTTAGCACAAGGCCCAAGATAAAGTCAGGTTATCAATAACTGATGGGTGATGATACGAGTTCAGTGCATGTCCTTATAAAATGTTGAGTGATGTTTTTCTGTGGTTCAGGAATGGAGGCCGAGGCTTAAAGCTAAGCATCAAAGGTGTAACAACATCCCACATTTCTGAGTTCAGAGCACCACCAGCTGTTAGGGGTCAGCCAAAAACCCTCAGAGCTTACTGATAACAGGAAGATAAGTCCTAATGTGCACTGCTCCCCACTGCGTTGCACCTCTGCTATTCGGGAAAAGACTGAGTGTGACTGTGGCTGGCCTCTGAGGATATGCTGGTCGGGAGGACTTTCCTTCCTCCTCACTGCCTCCGTCCCCAGGGATGGGAACCATCTAACCATCTCTTCTGCAGAGACCTGCACCCCAGGAAAAGGAGAAAGCAGAGCATGTGACAGAACTGGGAGGAAGGGCTTTGGAGGGGCTGACTACACGCTGAAAGTGTCACCAGAGGAAGGAATCTGGGCCTAGGTCATTTTGTTGGTACCATGTCAACTTGGTGCCAGGGCAAGGGACTTCTAGGATAAGTCTGTGAGACATAGAACATCTGAAGTGGCTTCACAAGCACTTGGGTATGTGCTAGAGACTGAACATTTGTGTGCCCGTAAGGGATCATCAAAAAAGCAAGAGAGTTCCAGAAAAACATCTATTTCTGCTTTATTGACTATGCCAAAGCCTTTGACCGTGTGGATCACGATAAACTGTAGAAAATTCTGAAAGAGATGGGAACACCAGACCACCTGACCTACCTCTTGAGAAACCTGTGTGCAGGTCAGGAAGCAACAGTTAGAACTGGACATGGAACAACAGACTGATTCCAAATAGGAAAAGGAGTACGTCAAGGCGGTATATTGTCACCTGCTTATTTAACTTATATACAGAGTACATCATGAGAAACGCTGGACTGGATGAAGCACAAGCTGGAATCAAGATTGCCGGGAGAAATATCAATAACCTCAGATATGCAGATGACACCACCCTTATGGCAGAAAGTGAAGAGGAACTAGAAAGCCTCTTAATGAAAGTGAAAGAGGAGAGTGAAAAAGTTGGCTTAAAGCTCAACATTCAGAAAACTAAGATCATGATATCTGGTCCCATCACCTCATGGGAAATAGATGGGGAAACAGTGGAAACAGTGACATACTTTATTTTGGGGGGCTCCAAAATCACTGCAGATGGTGACTGCAGCCATGAAATTAAAAGATGCTTACTCCATGGAAGGAAAGTTATGACCAACCTAGATAGCATATTAAAAAGCAGAGACATGGGGAGGAGCCAAGATGGCGGAGGAACAGGACGGGGAGACCACTTTCTCCTCTACAAATTCATCGAAAGAACAATTGAACGCAGAGCAAACTTCACAAAACAACTTTTGATTGCTAGCTGAGGTCATCAGGTGCCCAGAAAAGCAGCCCATTGTCTTCAAAGGAGGTAGGACAAAATATAAAAGATAAAAAGACAGACAAAAGAGCTAGGGACAGAGATCCATCCCGGGAAGGGAGTCTTAATAGAGGAAGTTTCCAAACACCAGGAAACCCTCACACTGGTGGGTCTGGGGGAAGTTTTTTAATCTCAGAGGGCAACCTAACTGGGAGGGGAAAAATAAATAAAACCCACAGATTACATGCCTAAAAGCAACTCCCAGCAGAAAAGTACCCCCAGACGCCCGCATCCGCCACCAGCAAGTGGGGGCGGAACGGAGAGGAGCGGGCGGCATAACTTAGGGTAAGGACCAGGCCTGAGTGCCCTGAGGACAATCGGAGGGAGCTTTTGTGAGCTACCAACTTAAACTGTGGGACAGCAAAAGAGAGAGAGAAAGTTAACCGGCCCGAATACACTACCGGCCGTTCGCAGAACAAAGGGTCTGAGCAAGTCCAGAGAAGAGCTCTCAGGCTTCGGACCGGCCCAGCCGTGCCTGAGGCAGGAGGCAGGGGGAGGGGAAACGGGCAGGCTTGGCCCCAAGGACCGCATCCCCTACCATACTGCAAACAGGCCTCCAGTTTCTAGCCAAAGACTTCCTGAGATTCTGAATGGTCGACATCCACCGGGAGGATCACGGCTAGACACAGGGCACACGCACCCGACCGGCGCGGGCTGGGACTGGGGCTGGGGACGTGGAGGGGAGACGGTGCACGCACCCGACTGGCGTGGGCGGAAACTGAGGCTGGGACTGCGGAGGGGAGAAGGCGCGCTGCACCCAGGGAGAGTGCACCCGTGAAGCTCCTGGCTGCCTGAGCCGTTCGGGTGGGGAAGGCACAAAACGCAGGCGCAGCCGAGTCCATGCTTTTGTGGAACACCCAAGGGCTGGAACCGCGCGCAGCTCAGGACACGCTCCATATAGAGCAGCCGGGAGCCTGAGCAGCATAGATGGGGAAAGCAGCGCCAGTCCCTCCCCGCAGCGCGACGGAACTAGCAACCTGAACAAGAGACTACCTCCGCCCGCCTGTATCAGGTCGGAAATTAGGCACTGAAGAGACCGGCAAACAGAAGCCAAATAAACAAAGGGAACCGCTTCAGAAGGGACTGGTGCAACAGATTAAAATCCCTGTAGATAACACCAACTACACCAAGGGGCCTGTAGATCTTGAGAAGTGTAAGCTGGACCGAGGAGCTATCTGAAACTGAACCGAACCCACACTGACTGCAACAGCTCCAGAGAAATTCCTAGATATATTTTTACTTTTTTTTTAATTAAAAAAATTTTTTTTCTTTTTTTTTCCTTTTTCTTTTCTTTTTTCTTTTTTTCTTTTTCTCTTATTTCCTTTTAAAGTCCTCTATTACTCCTCTACTACTCCTTAATTTTCATTTTCATTTCACTATAACCTTGCCAAAAAAAAAAAAAAAGAGAAGCCCTATTTTTAAACCGAACTTCATATATATTTCTAAAATTGTTTGTGTTTGTGTTTTTGTTTTTATTATTGTATTTTTAAGAGTCTAACCTCTACTCTAGATTTTTAATCTTTGTTTTTCAGTATGTGATATAAATTTTGGACATTTAAGAATCCAATATTCAGTTCCCATTTTTATTCAGGAGGGTGTTGATTACTCTCTCCCACTTTTGACTCTCTGTTTTCTACCTCAGAACACCTCTATTTCCTCGTTTCCCCTTCTCTTCCCAATCCAACTCTGTGAATCTTTGTGGGTGTCTGGGCTACGGAGAACACTTGGGGAACAGATAACTGCGTAGATCTGTCTCTCTCCTCTTGAGTCCCCTTTTTCTCCTCCTGCTCACCTCTATCTCCTTCCTCCCTCTCCTATTCTTCATGTAACTCTGTGAACCTCTCTGGGTGTCCCTCATGGGGGAGAATCTTTTCACCATTAACCTAGAAGTTTTATTATCAGTGCTGTATAGTTGGAGAAGTCTTGAGACTACTGGAAGAATAAAACTGAAAGCCAGAGGCAGGAGACTTAAGCCCAAAACCTGAGAACGCCAGAAAACCCCTGACTACATGGAACATTAATTAATAAGAGACCATCCAAAAGCCTCCATATCTACACTGAAACCAACCACCACCCAAGAGCCAGTAAGTTTCAGAGCAAGACATACCATGCAAATTCTCCAGCAACGCAGGAACATAGCCCTGAACGTCAACATACAGGCTGCCCAAAGTCACATCTAACACATAGACCCATCTCAAAACTCATTACCGGGCACTCCATTGCATTCCAGAGAGAAGAAATCTAGTTCCACGAGCCAGAACACCGACGCAAGCTTCCCTAACCAGGAAACTTTGACAAGCCAATTGTCCAACCCCACCCACTGGGTAAAACCTCCACAATAAAAAGGAACCACAGACCTGCAGAATACAGAAAGCCCACTCCAGACACAGCAATCTAAACAAGATGAAAAGGCAGAGAAATACCCAACAGGTAAAGGAACATGAAAAATGCCCACCAAGTCAAACAAAAGAGGAGGAGATAGGGAATCTACCTGAAAAAGAATTTAGAATAATGATAATAAAAATGATCCAAAATCTTGAAAACAAAATAGAGTTACAGATAAATAGCTTGGAGACAAAGATTGAGAAGATGCAAGAAATGTTTAATAAAGACCTAGAAGAAATAAAAAAGAGTCAATTAAAAATGAATAATGCAATAAATGAGATCAAAAACACTCTGGAGGGAACCAAGAGTAGAATAACGGAGACAGAAGATAGGATAAGTGAGGCAGAAGATAAAATGGTGGAAATAAATGAAGCAGAGAGGAAAAAAGAAAAAAGAATTAAAGAAATGAGGACAGGCTAGGCCGGCTTCTCTCCGCGGGCCACGGTTAGAGTGCCGGTGGCCAAGGGCTCGCGGAGGGCCGCCAGCCACGCGGCGTCGGCTAGACCTCGAGCGTCAGAGTCGTTGTGTCGTGACAGCAACTCCGGTGGCTGCTTCCGCGACAGCAGGTGCGGCCGCTTCAGCCCCAGGCGGGCTCGGCGGCTGCCTGGCGAGCTTCTGCTCGCGCCCAGCCCTTTCCTTCCTGAACTCGGCGCCAAGCAGCGCCGCTGAGCCGACCGCCGGAGCAGCAGGCAACGGCGGCCTCGACGGCCTCGCACCGGCCCATCAAGGGGATCCTGAAGAACAAGAGCTCTACGGCTTCCTCTGTGGCGTCCTCGGCCGCACAGCCCGGCAAGAGTGTCGACGAAGAGCTGAGTAAAAAGTCCCAGAAGTGGGATGAGATGAACATCCTAGCGACCCGTCATCCAGCAGACAAAGACCACGGTTTAATGAAGCTAGACGAGCCTAGCGCTCCTTACCACAGTATGGCAGCTGATGATGAAGATGCATTGAGTGATTCAGAAACCACTGAAGCCCTGACCCCAGATATCTTAGCTCGGAAATTAACTGCTGCAGCTGCTGAAAGCTTGGAACCAAAGTATCGAGTTCGTGAACAAGAAAGCAGTGGAGATGAGGATAGGGAACTCTCACCTGAAGAACGAGAAAAAAAGCGACAGTTTGAAATGAAAAGGAAGCTTCACTACAATGAAGGACTGAATATTAAGTTAGCTAGACAGTTAATCTCAAAAGACCTAAATGATGAGGAGGAGGATGAAGAAATGTCAGAGACTGCAGCTGGAGAAAGCATGAATATGGAAGAATCAAGTCAAGGATCTGCTACAAGTGACCAACTGCAAAACAAATCACAGAGTTCATAGAAGAGATTTTTTTCAACACAGTAATTGTCAAATACAAACTCTGTTACTATAATATACTGCTTGTTCTCTACAATTCATGACTTAAGTACCAAAATACGTACCAGTTATTATATATTGCCAAGAATTAAATAACTTAAGAGACTAATTAGACTGAAAATGCCTAATTGATACATATATTCTTGTGCCTAGTACTTCACCACAAATACAGCATAATGTCATTCAAAACTACGTTACCTTTGTAAGAACACTGGTTAATTTGTATAAGATATAACTTTTTATGCTTTAGAAATTAATATCTTTTGGGGAGGGAGAGGGGATCTAATTTATTTTCTTCACTTCTAGTTGTGACAGCTCTTATAAAAGGTTGGGTTTTTAAAAAATCAAAATCCAGTTAGAACAGCAGATCATATAGGCTGATAAATATATTCAGTCTGAAGAGTATTTTAACATGTGTCTTCAACTTGTCTGTTTAATTAAAAAGGATTATGTTATGAGTTACTGTTGCATTTTCTGGCATACTACCTTTAAAATTCCTGTTGAGTTTCTTTTATGTTTACAAGGAAAGGATCTCATCAAAACTAGTTTTTTTCCATAAATAAATTGTCAGGTTAAATTTGCACTAACGTCTGCTCTGACTTTTTTTGTACACTCCATGGGCAGACTTCAGATCAGTCTTTCAATAAATATAATTCTAATATAGTTTCAGCATTCCCTTTATATACCTGTGTTAAACTCCTGCCTTTGTCTCTTATTCCTTTCCACACATACACACAGAATCGTTTACCTTTACAAAGGATCATAAAGATTGTCATGACATTGGAAGCTTTTCCTTTTATCACTTACTCTGTCATTTGCTGCAACAATGAAAATCTTACTTTGACTATTAATGCCTATTCATTCTTCTAATACATGGAGAAAATGAATTGCATCAGTACTAGACAGGAAATACAATTCAGCTGCAGAATTTTCTACATGTCTCTGACTTCAGCTTGCTAATTAAAGTGCTATTATTAGTTTATTGTTTGACTTAATTAGACCTTAGAAAACAACTGAGGGTTTTTTGCATGATGAGAGAATTGTGTGTAACCAGTGATATGATGATAGCTCCTGAATGTATAAAAAGAATTCTGAACACTTTTTAATTTAAAAGCTTAAAATAGTTCCTGCTTTAAGGGAATATGATAATGTATACTATGACAAATGTTCTTTATTCTTCTAACACAATAAGATTTGAACTTTTCCCCCCTAAAATGAAGTGCAGTTCCTGTGTATCTTAGCTTACATTTCTAGTCAATTATTTGTATTTTAATTTTTTGTTAGTACTGAAAGAATCCATTATATGAACAGACTTTTTAAGTAATTTCTGTATATTGTATATTTGAATTGGCTTTTATTGAGCAGCTTATCTTCTACTTGCAAGGTTATGGAAAGATCAAATGTCAAAATAAGTAAAAAGTCGGAGAACTATATAGTGTTAGAAGAATGTTTTTATTAGTTTGGATTTCTTCTTTTTTAATGGAATCTAATCAGTACTTCTGAACTGCACGTATAGTGTTCTAACTAAAACATATAAACTAGGAGTACCACTGATTTAGGGATAAACGAACAGTGTTTATCCCTGCTTTCTGAATTTAAAATATTGAGGTATTCTTACCTGTTTAAAGTTGTCTGGGGGTATTTAAGCTTATATATATATGTGTACATATGTTCATACACACAGATCTCTGTTTTTGGTTTTCTCATTTCAAGTTCTTAGGAAGTATTCACGTGCTCTTTATTTGTAGAAATAGCTGCTATACAGTGAAGAACAGGTAGGAACTTTAACAACTGATCCTTTTGGTGTTTTCTACAAATTATTTCTTGAAACTTCAATCACAGGCAAACTTGTATTTCTGGTTTCTGGAAATAGTTATCTCAGAGGAATAAGACATGGCAAATAGCATGCTCAGTAGAATTTTAGGTAATCAAATGTGACTGAGTAAAATTGTTATCATTGTCATGAGTTCCTAATTGACGTGGTATTGAACTATACAAAAAATGAACCTTTATGACTCAAGTTATATTTTCCTTTGGGGAAAGTTATCTGTCAGTGTTCAGTTGTAGCCAAAGTAGATTTTACTTTCAGTTTTTTAATCAGTATCTCTTATCTGCTTAACTCTTGATGTCATCTTTTCTGTGTATTCATTTTTCAGTCTGAAATGCAGCAGTGATGCTCTTTAAAAACTGAGACATAAAATGGTATAAATGGATTGCTAAAAATAATTCAAATTGAAGATTAAAGCAAAGTGCCATTTTTCCCTAGACTTTCATTTTGTTTACATTTTTTCCTCTTAACATTAGTACACTGAACATATTGTAATAAAATATGGTCATATGACAAAAAGAAAAAAAAGAAATGAGGACAACCTCAGGGACCTCTGGGACAATGTGAAACACCCCAACATTCGAATCATAGGAGTCCCAGAAGAAGAAGGCAAAAAGAAAGGCCATGAGAAAATACTAAGGAGATAATAGCTGAAAACTTCCCTAAAATGGGGAAGGAAATAGCCACCCAAGTCCAAGAAACCCAGAGAGTCCCAAACAGGATAAACCCAAGGTGAAACACCCCAAGACTCATATTAATCAAATTAACAAAGATCAAACACAAAGAACAAATGTTAAAAGCAGCAAGGGAGAAACAACAAATAACACACAAAGGGATTCCCATAAGGATAACAGCTGATCTATCAATAGAAACCCTCCAGTCCAGAAGGGAATGGCAGGACATACTTAAAGTAATGAAAGAGAATAACCTACAATCTAGATTACTGTACCCAGCAAGGATCTCATTCAGATATGAAGGAGAATTCAAAAGCTTTACAGACAAGCAAAAGCTGAGAGAATTCTGAGAGAATTCATCACCACCAAACCAGCTCTTCAACAAATGCTAAAGGATCTTCTCTAGACAGGAAACACAGAAAGGTTGTATAAACGTGAACCCAAAACAACAAAGTAAATGGCAACGGGACCACACCTATCAATAATTACCTTAAATGTAAATGGGTTGAATGCCCCAACCAAAAGACAAAGACTGGCTGAATGGATACAAAAACAAGTCCCCAAATATGCTGTCTACAAGAGACCCACCTCAAAACAAGAGACACATATAGACTAAAAGTGAAGGGCTGGAAAAAAATATTTCACACAAATGGAGAACAAAAGAAAGCAGGAGTCACAATACTCATATCAGATAAAATAGACTTTCAAATAAAGGATGTGAAGAGAGACAGAGAAGGACACTACATAATGATCAAAGGATCAATCCAAGAAGAAGATATAACAATTATAAATATATATGCACCCAACATAGGAGCACCGCAATATGTAAGGCAAACGCTAACGAGTATGAAAGAGGAAATTAATAGTAACACAATAATAGTGGGAGACTTTAATACCCCACTAACAACTATGGATAGATCAACTAAACAGAAAATTAACAAGGAAACACAAACCTTAAATGATACAATGGACCAGCTAGACCTAATTGATATCTATAGGACATTTCACCCCAAAACAATCAACTTCACCTTTTTCTCAAGTGCACATGGAAACTTCTCCAGAATAGATCACATCCTGGGCCATAAATCTAGTCTTGGAAAATTAAAAAAATTGAAGTCATTCCAGTCATCTTTTCTGACCACAGTGCAGTAAGATTAGATCTCAATTACAGGAAAAAAATTGTTAAAAATTCAAACATATGGAGGCTAAATAACACGCTTCTGAATAACCAACAAATCATACAAGAAATCAAAAAAGAAATCAAAATATGCATAGAAATGAAAATTAAAACACAACAGCCCAAAACCTATGGGACACCATAAAAGCAGTGCTAAGGGGAAGGTTCATAGCATTACAGCCTTATTTCAAGAAACAAGAAAAAAGTCAAATAAATAACCTAACTCTACACGTAAAGCAATTAGAGAAGGAAGAAATGAAGAACCCCAGGGTTAGTAGAAGGAAAGAAATCTTAAAAATTAGGGCAGAAATAAATGCAAAAGAAACTAAAGAGACCATAGCAAAAATCAACAAAGCTAAGAGCTGGTTTTTTGAAAAAATAAACAAAATTGACAGACCATTAGCAAAACTCATTAAGAAACAAAGAGAGAAGAACCAAATTAACAAAATTAGAAACGAAAATGGAGAGATCACAACAAACAACACTGAAATACAAAGGATCATAAGAGACTCCTACCAGCAGCTCTATGCCAATAAAATGGACAACTTGGAAGAAATGGACAAATTCTTAGAAAAGTATAACTTTCCAAAACTGAACCAGGAAGAAATAGAAGATCTTAACAGAGCCATCACAAGCAAGGAAATCAAAACTGTAATCAGAAATCTTCCAGCAAGCAAAAGCCCAGGACCAGATGGCTTCACAGCTGAATTCTACCAAAAATTTAGAGAAGAGCTAACACCTATCTTACTCAAACTCTTCCAGAAAATTGCAGAAGAGGGTAAACTTCCAAACTCATTCTACAAGGCCACCATCACCCTAATTCCAAAACCAGGCAAAGATGCCACAAAAAAAGGAAACTACAGGCCAATATCACTGATGAACATAGATACAAAAATCCTCAACAAAATTCTAGCAAACAGAATCCAGCAACATATTTAAAAAATTATACACCATGACCAAGTGGGCTTTATCCCAGGAATGCAAGGATTCTTTAATATCTACAAATCAATCAATGTAATACACCACATTAACAAATTGAAAGATAAAAACCATATGATTATCTCAATAGATGCAGAGAAAGCCTTTGACAAAATTCAACACCCATTTATGATTAAAACTCTCCAGAAAGCAGGAATAGAAGGAACATACCTCAACATAATAAAAGCTATATATGACAAACCCACAGCAAGCATCACCCTCAATGGTGAAAAATTGAAAGCATTTCCCCTGAAATCAGGAACAAGACAAGGGTGCCCACTCTCACCACTACTATTCAACATAGTTT